TGTGCAGCTCAAGACTAAGACGAAGATAGGTGTCAATTGTGCAGCTCAAGACTAAGGGTTGGTTTGCAAACGCTTTAAAAAAAGCACTTATCGGCTTTCGGCTTATAGCATGGAGTAGCAATTATTTCCTCTCCCTTATTCACGTATTCACGTATTATTGTTAATTTCCGATTTCGATCTTTCTTGATCGAAGTTCGGTCAGTGTTTCCCTAGCGAGATCTCTCGCGTAGGGTTTTTACTTCGCCGCCCTGGTGCGGCGTTTTCTTTCAATCGACGCAGCTCTGCGCCGGATTGGTGTGGTTTGGACGTAGCTCGGGATGGATGATTGTGGCAGCAAGAAGATGGTGGAAGAAGCGAGAGAGAAGTAGGGATGATCGAGACATGGCTAGCGTGGAGAGGCCGAACACTCCATTCAATGGCATGAATATGGGTCATACGGCGGGTACTCCACTGAAAGAGGGTATCAATCGAGCGACGGTCCGACCTCCGCCTGAACCACCGCCATGGGTTGTACGAGGTGCTAGAGTCCGTGAGAGTTTTCCTAGTAATTTTTATCTGTTTGTCATTTGTTTTATTGTGTTCATCTTTGTTGTTGGTTTTGACAATTTGTTTGAGTTTTTAGTCTCTCTTTATGTCATTGGGTATGGTTGGATCTATGGGAACAAGTTTGGCTGTGTCAAGTCCACTATATGGTTAGCGATTCGTGTTGCTCTTTCAGGGGTGACCGTCTCAAAGTCTCACCATAGGGTTACAGTCGTAGTTGTTGAAGTTTCAGTTGGTGTAAGTTTTATTTTCCCTTTGCTTGATGTAATGATCCTCAATCTTTTGATATGAATAGAGACATGTTTTGATGATGATAAAAAAACACTACAACTTTTTTTTCTCGGCTTTCGTGTCAAAAGTGTTTTTACTTTTTCTATTACACAAAAGCACTTATTTTACCAAACACCACCAACTTTTACTTTTCAAAATCACTTTTTTCTCAAACACTATCAACTTTTATTTAATCACTTCTCCTCATTTCATTAAAAAAAGCACTTTTTTTAAAGCAGAAGCTGTTGCAAACGAACCCTAAGACGAAGATAGGTGTCAATTTTGCAATCTTATCCGAAATGAATTATGATTTTATTCGATTAATTGAACTAGCGATGAGGATACTTCATCGACCGAAGGTGAAGGTTTTAGGGCAAACGAGTCTGATCATATAATAGCTTCAATATAATTACTTTTATTATTTGTTCTTCGCGGACTAAATGTCGATTAAAAGCATGGAATGTATGATATATATCGTGAAGAATGTGGGAAATAAATAAATAAATAAATAAATAAATAAATAAATAAATAAATAAATAAATAAATAAATAAATAAATAAATAAATAAATAAATAAATAAATAAATAAATAAATAAATAAATAAATAAATAAATAAATAAATAAATAAATAAATAAATAAATAAATAAATAAATAAATAAATAAATAAATAATAAAGGATGACACTCCATCCCTGAGGGGCCCCAACACCAACCGGACGGTACGATGGGAGACCCACACTTTTTTTTGGGAAATAAATGTGTGATTTAATTTTGTCCTTTTACATTTCAGATTGTAGGAATTACTAGACCTAAATGAACACGATGGTGGTAATCATGAAGCATACTCTCCTATGAGGAATACCGATAATGGGGGTTGGGGTATATAGGTAATGAAAAGTGACTCTGGTTTTAATATCTTGTTCGCATTTAAAAAATATTTAAAATTGTTAAAAGGATATTGTATAAATTATGTGATGAACCTTTAGAATATGTAAGATAGTCAATCAATGATACAAGCAATTTGTATCTTGTGGGTCTCTTTTTCAATTGTGTAAGTGCAAGGAGAGAATCTTGTTTTAGTAGTGTGATGTGTTTAACAGTCCTGAGGAGGTACAACAGGTGACTATTAGTAAATGACATCAATAACATAGAAGGTCAAGATGGAAGTGGTGAACTTTCATTGGCCAATTTGTTATTTGGTGATGGCATACAACTGGAGTTTGAATATGCATGGGATTAATATGTTTGATGTAGAATTGTGGGTAGTTAACTTTTGAGATCTAAGTTTAACTAAATTCAAGGAGAAGAAGAAAAGGGCAAAATATGAATATGAGAAGGATGTGGCAATAGAGATACTAGATGAAGAAGTTTTTTGGACTAATCTTAAAGAACAACATAAAAAAGAAGAAAAAGTTACACAAATATCTCATGTCACTGAGAAAGACCTTAATCTATGACATGTGGAATCACACAATGATATGAAGTTTTAGACTGTATACCTAAGAAACAAAATACTTCGACAAAAGATGGTGATGATTCTAAAGATAGTTCAAAGTTGTATTCTTTGAATAACAGACGTATCTATATTTCTAAAACTGGATCAGTCAATGATGGTAAAGTCCAAAAGCAAAACGACATGTTTCATTCATACAATCCATAGTTTGAATCTCCTTTAATTGAATTAGAGGTGCTTTAAAGAAAACGTAAAATTTAACAAGGATCACATTAGATATGTTATTTGTTCATAAAAAAAATCTTTGAGAGGAATGGATCCAAAAGGGTCATGACAAAGTGAAGTAAAGAGAATATTGCACATTCCTATTATGCAAGCTTAAAAGATTGGTTCACGCGCAACTCAGTTAAAATTATGATTGGCATCCACGCATGTAGTTTGATATTTAAGAGAATAGTGGTCAACCAAAAATGTTTAGAGGATAATTATGAAGATAAGGCTTGGGAGGACCCTTGCATTAGATCGGTTGCCTGAAAGGAGCATATAGAGTATGAATTGGGTATTCATGTCTCAACATGGTAAAGATGGCAGGTAGACGCAATAAGAAGAGAATAAATGGAAGTTTTAAAGAAAGTATAATCATGATCAACACCTGCAAAATAGTGTTTGACAACCCATGTTTCTTCCGCAGAATATAATGTTGTTTAGGTGCAATGAAAAGGATTAACTACGACAAGAATCACATAGGGAAAATATACAAAGCATTTTTAATGTGTGCTAGGGTAGAGTGTGAATCACATCTTCAAGAATAGCCTGAATAACTGGATAAAAAAGACCATGAAGCCAAAAAAGATTTCGAGATATATCCTTTAAAACAATTCTAGAGGGACTTCATATGAGCAACGCTTAAATGTGATGCTATAGATAACATGCCTCCGGTTTTTAATTGATGCTTGTGGCATGTAGGAGCAAATCTATCTTTCATATATTGGAGAAAATAAGAATAGCAATGTAGGTTGCAGCCAAATGCAAGGGAAGTTTGTGCCTAATGTGAAGAAACTTCTTAACACAAAACATAATGAGAAATGCAAAGGGGCGGGTTCAGTTGAAAGAGGATGATGGGTAAAAGCCTAAGCCGTAAAGAAAGGTAAGCTAGAAGGAATCACTCGGAGGTCACTAAGATCATAAGGATCCCCATGCTCACAGGGTCAGAGATGCTTGCTCATGGTTGCTCTCCACACCATCATTGTCCTCACAGACTAACACATGTTATTATAACTCATTTTATCCTCACTTTGCACATCATAAGAAACTTTTCAAGGGTCACTCCAGTTTTACTCCTGTACACACATTTAATTGCAAGATTCTATGGAAAGTGGTGTGATTATTAAGAAATTTAAAGTAAAATTGTGTAATCGATATTAAATTGATAAATTTTCAAATAAGTAAAAATTTATTACTATCATCTAAATATTACTCGTAACAAATATGGAATGAAAAAACCCGGTGGAATGGAATGAAAAATGTATAGGAGGAAGGCGGAGAAAGTAAATCTATATGGAAGGTTGAGATGGAATTTGAAGGGGAAATGTAGTCACATACTTCTGGCTTGAAAAAACTTTTCAATGAAAAATTTGCTAATCTCCCTGCCAAGAATAAAAGGAAAAATACCAACAAACCAACCTTTCTTATTCGGATCTGCTCCATCTACAAACCAAAGGTTTAGTCCAATGAACATTTTCCCATTGTTCAGATCCGATTATCCGAAGAGACGTAGTCTCAATAACAATTTGGATTGAATTTAGTCTCAAATACTCAATCATATTGAAATAAACTAGACTTAAATAAATTGAACTTTAAACATATCAACTGAGAGTTAAACATATCCAATTAGATCTGTGACAGGTACACAAAATGTGTACACATGTCTGTCCTTCACGGAAATTTTTTCTGTCACAGACAACTCGAAATTTTTGTTCACATAAATGAGTTGTCTGTGACAGACAAAATTTCTGTGAAGGACAGACATGTGTACACATTTTGTGTACAAATTTTGTGTACCTCAAGCATTTTTCTCCAATAAGAACATGATTAGGACGTTTAGAAGTTTTCCGATCTAGTGTTTAAAATTTTGAACTCAACTGGTCTAATTTAATAGCATAGAGCTGTTAGGTGTATTTTTCTATTAACTAACCTTAATCTGATTTGGACAGAGTTTGAAACAAGTCTGATTGAAAACATTTTTAGGCATTAGTGAGTTACAAATATTACCGGACCTTTACGGAACTAACTAGGGGTGGCCCGGGACTGATCGGCTCGGTACCCGGACCAAGCCGCCACTGTGCGGGACCAACCCAGACCGGTTGACCAGGACCGGGCCTATGACCCAGACCGGGGGGGGGGGGGGGGGGGTTGGTGGCGGGCTCGGGCTGCAGCCCACTTGGTACCGGCCCTGTCGGCCAGGACCGGTCCATCCCTACAACTAACAGACTTAAATGGACCATATGAAAACATCTTAACTAACAAATTAAAGATTTGGTATCAATTGAATACAACATGAAGAATTAAAACTAAATGTTAAAACCCGACTTCCAAAACTAATTTACATTAAAATACCAGTAATACACATTTTAAAAGAAGTGGGAAACATTGATAAGTAAATACCAGTACTTGTTAGATTAAAAAACATAACCTTCAACCGAAAATGGCTTCACTGCCTTCACATAACCGAACTAATGTAAGCAAAAAGTGCGAAAACATAGAAATGGTAAGCAAGAAAATTAATAGAGAAGAGAGAAAAGAGAAACATTTATTTTGGTGGAATGTTTGAACAAGGAATTGACAATGTTATGCCATTCATCTTCTTCATCCCTTATTCATACATGAAATCTCCCTACATATATCATAGACTATTCAAGAGATGGATATACTGGATCCTTCTGTGGCCGACAATTATTAGTACATCATCAAAATATACATGTTTAGATCCTTATCCATCTCTTCTAGATTCTCATGACTATTTAGCTAAAGGGATCTCCTCTCTTTTTTTTCTTTTTTCTTTTTAAAATTGTACTTACATTTCAGTCTCACCTTACATGTGGAGGTTGAGACAAATGGAGAAAGAACATGGAAAGTTGAGGGCAAAAAGGTAGAAATATGGAAACTTGAGGAAAAGGTAAAAAGAAAAGGAAGGTGGCGAAAAAAGCCGTGGAGGCCACTGAGGAATGAATGAATTAATGTCAAAGGGGAAGAAACTAATCTATTTTTCAATTACACTGTTGTTTTGGCGGGAGATTATGCGGGTGAATGATCTGGTGGGGTCACAAGTAACAACATACAGACAGATCCCCCGTGTATAATGCCGGGGGGAGCAGACAGATTCCAGTAACCTGAGAATGGCGGTGGGCTGCATGAACAAGTGCATGCAGAAAATTTGAGGAACTGGAAATAAATGTGTGATCGTCATGTTCATGTACTGTAATGCCTAACTGAAGACTCCAACTCCTCTGGACTAGGGCATATCAATTCCTTCATCCGCTTACCATCCTTGTAAATTTTGAATGTTGGTACAGTTCTAACATTCTCTGCATTAGCAATTACTGGGGAGTCTTCCACATCCACCTTCAATTTAAAATATAAATATTAAAATAAATTCATATTTTATGGAGGGGAAAACATTTAAGGAAACAGAATTTTATAGATTCAGAACATGAAAGATGGGCTCAATGATAAAAACTATCAATCAAAGAAAATATCAGTGTATACACTTTATACACTAAACGGTGCTTATTAAGACTCGTGTTAATAAAAACGATTTAGAAACCCATAAATGTATTGAAATTTTTAAGGAAATTTTTAATAAAAACAATTTAGAGAACAAAGAATCAAAAGTCGTGACTTTTTAAGCCTTGATTGAGAGTTTCAAGCCCACAATAATACTATATTTAACTTAGTACCTTGAGAAAATTTATGGACGGATATTTGCTACACAATGCATCTGAGAAGGCGGATATCTGCCAGCATTGTACATTGGAAGCTGCTTTAAAGTGCACTACGGATGCCCCTGCAATATATAATGTACAGATAAATGTTGGTTCATATGATCATATCATTAAAGAAAGATCAAAATGGAATGTTGAAGGACAAAGCCTACCAGGAGACGAAATAGCAGCTCGAAACCGTTCAAGTCCTGAAACAATTTCAACTTCTCCGAATTTCAAATTACCAACCTCTTCCCCCATGGATTTCCTAAGTGCAACTTGAGCAAGAAACAGAGATTCAGCTACTTCTTTATCATTCGGAAGTTCGCTCCTCAAGACTTCATAATCTCTTACCGCTTCAGCCCACAGTTCAAGCTACAGATCCCAAAAATATTCACACACATTTTAATAACTAAAAATAGACCAACAAAAAACAAGAGAGTATATTAGATTACCTTCATGTTTGAGGCAGCACGTCGAAGAAGGGCTTTAGTATAACTTGGCTGGATATGGAGCGCTTGATTGCAGTCACTGACAGACTTCTCCCACTGTGCCAGTTTATACCAGCAAGCTGCTCTATTGCAGTAAAGAACAGAGTTTGAAGGATCAAGCCTGAGGCCATCACTATATGCTGTACAAGCTTCGGTATACCTTTCAGATTTAAAAAGGTCATTTCCACGGCTACGGGCTTGGCTAACCAAACGCACATTGCTGAGTAAAAGTGAAACTTCCATGTTTCGAGGATCAATCTGCCGAGCTGTCTCAATGGTTTTAAGTGCATTCTCAAACCTGCAGGAGTCATAACCCATACTCATAAGTGAATCCCTTAGGATCAGGTTGGAACGTAAGAAATACTAGGAAAAGAGTGTAGGATGAAAATAGGGAAGATGATTGAAAGGTGTAAAATAAAAAGATAAAAATACAATTATTTCATATTTTTTAAACTCATTTTTTAAGTCTAATATATAAAGCCTGTGTAAATTAAAAAATTGTAAATAAAATTGAAATACGCAATCCTGTTCAAATTTCCTTTGCATTTCCCAAGGTAAAGCACAACATAAGAAAATAACTTTCCTTAGCACTTACCCTTTCCCTAACATTTTTCGGTATCCGAACATACCCATAATGTAGTGTAGTTGGGGCAAAACTTACGAACAAAAACTCACCTTCCAAGGGCTAACTCAACCTGAGCCCGTACAAAGTATATATATGCCTCTGTAAGCATTCCAAAAATCTTTGACTGGGAGTAGGAGGAAGAAGCGGCTAATGGTGGCTTTATTTGAGGAACAAATGATAGTCCTGAAGAAGCATCCTCTAATTGGGATAGCTTCAAAAGTGCCTCTGCTCTACAAGAAAATAGCTGCAAATTCATCAAATCAAATAAATCAGATAGTAGCAAACAAACCGTTCTACAATCCATTTTCTATCATTATATAAAAAATAAATACCACCACACATACCTGAGGAGATGAATCAGCACCAGAGGCAATTGCAGCATCAGCTTCTCTCAACATGCCCCTCCAGTCTTTAAGCCTTCTGGCATCATTGCATTTCCCTATATGTTTCTCAACCCTCTCCAACTTTGTCATGTCTATGTGCTGTGGCTGATGGCCTGGAAAACAAATGTGTTGTCTCGCATTTTCGACCTGCCCTAAACTGCAACCCTTAGATGAATCAGAACAGAATCGACTACTTACAGATCATCATTTATATTTTGACTTCTACTTTTATAAACAACGAAGACAAGTTAGTAATAAGTGCAGTTCATTAATTATTTTCAAAAATTACTACATAGTCCAATTCAAGAAAAGCATCATCTACTCTGGGAAGGAGGGAAGGACTTGCATGAACATCCAGTTTATGGACAAAAGAAACCCATGCTTCATAAACCTTCAAAGTTTCAAGCTCTAGTAAATGTTACATGGTGTTTTTACTGACTTACAGATCAAAAACTAGAGTATAATGAAGCTGTAGAGTAAAATTCATTAAACCAAGGGCATTATAATGGGAGGGGGTGTAAGTTATGTCTAATAACGATAGCAGCATAGCAATCCAATCAAACAATTCTTTTAACTGGAACTTAACCAAAGAAACATTACCCCACAGAGGATAAATAACAGAAAGGTTTAAAAATTGCCACACTTCACAAATTTCACCAATCAAGAAACTGATCAATAAACCTAGGATCAACTTTAACCATAAGAATCCAAGGAAGAAGAGCAAACAGTCATGTCAATGCAGATATAGTCACCAAGAATTTGGCACAAAAGGCATATGCATTGACAAAAAACAAGCGGAAAAAAATCAAGATCAGTTCATCAAACACAAAGCAACATCTTGTATAACAACAAGATGTTTTATATACTAACAACAAGAATGCCACTTCACAGAATAGACAGGACTTTTTTAACCAATAGGGAAACATGCAAAAAGATTTGAACCTAACAGCTTGACTTAACTTACCTGAGAAACAGAGATCCTAATCGATGGTGGGCTCTGACGTAACTTGGTTCCAATCTGATGGCTTCCTCACATTCCCACAATGCCTCGTCTAACCTCTTTACAGCAATCAATGCAGCAGCTCTGTTGCAATGGTAAGCTGCGTTTCCCGGAGAGATTGCAATTGCCTTGTCGTACAGATTCAAAGCTTCAGCGTAATTACCCTTCTTGTATTGCTCATTCCCCATGGACTTGAACTCCTCCGGATCATTCCGCACTCCACTTGTCATAAATCCTCTAGAACTTGTGGCTAGACCAGCAGTGGTGTCCCTTCCGGAGCCACCAGTAGTGGACTTGTGCGCTCCAACTCCCCGCATTATGCTCCCATGGCCATAATTCACAGTGCCGGACCCCAATACATCAGTCTTCGTGGCCCTGCTGGCCATGCCGGTAGTCAGAACCTTTCCCGACGGGCAGATGTTACCAGCAGGGAGGGCATTCGAAGAATGAGAAGTCGCGGAATGTCCGCCGGAGTAAATTCGCGGGTGTGTGCCGCCGGAATCAGACCTCGCATGCACGTTCTTGGATACACGACCCGTAGGTGAACTATCCGCAGAGCCTGAAAGTTCGCCGGAATGGCTGGAATCTGGCCTCTTCGGAACCGGGTTCGGCGCATTTCGACCCGAAACGGATCCGGACGAGCTAGAGCTACTACTTGTGGTGGTGGTGGCGGTCGAAGCAGTCCCCCTCCGGCGAAAAAGCAACGGCGAGAGCGGCGAACCACGATCAAGTTCTTTGGAATCCGGCTTGTCAACTTCCGGGTCATCGCAACTCACCGTGTTCTTGAACCGATCTCCTAACCCATCAATGGAATCCTTCCTAGAATGCGACATCTCCAAAACCCACACTCCCGTTCTTCAATCACTACATACGCACGCGAAATGTGCGCGGAAAAGAAATGCAGAAAGATTTCGCGAATATATTTCAGTTCTTTACTGCTCCTGAGAACAGCCGGCAATGTCTGGAGCTCCGGAAAAGTCATACACAAGTGGGGGAGTAGAAAAGAAAGGGGATCTCGTGAAATAGGAGCGAATCTATGGATTGATGGTTGTGAATTGGTTCGGTTATAACCAGACGTGAGCTTCTAAGAAGAAAGAAGAAGGGAAGGGAGAGATCCTGTTTGCGGGAGAGAGAGAAAGAGGTTTTGCAGTAAGAAAGAAAGCGCTTTTAATTTCTCTTTATATTTTCTATATATATTTCTGCTTGAGTCACGAGACTGCATTTATGAGTTTACCATCCGAACAAATATTTTCATTATTTATCCATCTGCGCTAATCGGTTCCGGAAACCCTCATAAATTTTTTCATTTGGAAGGGAAAAAATTAAAACGAAGGAGATATAAGAAATAAGAAATAGAATCATAGATTTTTTGATCGAGAAATAGAATCATAGATAGAAAATGATCAATAATATATCGTTTTCACTTGAAAATTGGAATCATCCATATTTAGCAGGATTGGTTTCATTTGCAGCATAGAAGATTTTAATTTTGTTGCATTATATGATCTCTTTAATCTACGGGTATACTTTAATACGTAGTACTACGAATATAATAATCACAGACTATTCAGGATTGGAGAAATTTAGCCATTTCATTCGCAATTTGAGCGATTTAATTATATTCAATCAATTTTAAATATGTTTTTGATAATTTTGTACAATTTCATTTCATTAATATTACAAATGTCTGTATCAAAAGAGTCATGTTCATACCTCTCAAAAATTATAGTTTTGAATCGGTAAATTTTATTAAATTGAATTTGTGTGTATTTTTGGTTTTGAAAAATTATCACTGTGAAATGCACATTGTTTTTAGAGAATGATATTCTTTTTACGACGAAAGAGTTTTATTGCACCGCTAATAAATACATATTCCATATTGACTATCTTAGCTTGAATCAAGGAGACAACGTTAGAACACTTTAAGCATTGATTTGTGCAAATATTAGCATGTGCTTTTTCATTACACATCGGAATGCATTAAATCGCGAGGTTCTTACATATTTATGTGTTGACTATAACTGACGTCAGTTAACCAAAAAATGGCAACATATACTCACATGTTTTTTATTTATAGTTATTTGATTACACATCTTTGAACATGAAAGGTATTTTAGGTGTGAAACTTTGAATTTCACATTCGTTTCAATAACGTAAAGTTATTTCAAAATGTAGAGTTAATAATATAAGACAAATAGTGATGGTAGTCCCAAACACCTTGTGTTTTCTCTTTAGCAATAGCACTCCCATTAAAACTCATTTTTCATCCTATTCTTATCCTTGTGAATCTTTGTATTTCTTTTTAACCTATTCTTACTTCAGCCCCTCTTCATACATCAATTGGTAATCAAGCTACAAAAGTAGGAGAGGTGAAGAAAATGTAAGAAAGAAAAGATATGAAACTGAGAACCATTTTTTCTTTTTGTATAGTGGTAGTTACAAAAAATAGATACTCAAACAAATCATACTATAATTTGAATAAATGGTAGTTTGTGAGCATCCACAACTATCAAATTTGAGTTTCATTTATGCAACATAACTTGATATTTATACTATTATAAGTTTTTGTTCAAATTTAATATTGTAACGTTTGTTTCAAAACTTGAAACTCACTTACCTTATTTTTTAAATTTTGTGTTTTTATATGGCATTAATACGTTATTCGTGTGAAAAATACACATGTAAAACGCAACTATTTTCAAAATTTTATTTGACTGTTTTCTCAATTGAATTTTTTGCTACAATTTGGTGGACATAATATATACTTCATGACGAACATGCTCACAAAATTTCATTAAGAAAATTTCACTGGGAACCACCTCAAAACGAGGTGGTTGGACGATGGCTCGGTCAGGTACGGTATACCTGACAAGAATATCTGTGTTTGTGTGTTTACATATCTATATATATATATATATTTGAAGATAGATGTTTTCCTAAAATATTATTAAAGCAAAATTTGTGAATAAAATTGTGACTACAATACTATAAATACACTTTTATAATCAAATTAAGTTAAATTTTGAACACGGTAATAGTCTTTAATAATTATCAAGTCACATTCTTGTCCACTTTCTTTATAAACATAAGGTAACATTCATATACAAATTTTTGCAGGAAAACCAAATATTTTGGTATGCCGAGTATCAATTACTACTCCTTATATGTCATTAATTAATATAAGAATCATTAATAAGATATTAATAATTGATACTATAAACTTAAATTCTGACATGACATACTAATAATGAATAACAATACGAAAGAGATGAAATACAACTTTGATTGGTAAAACATTTAATTTATGAACAAATTAAGGCATGTGGTACTTGAAATTTGAAAGGTAAAATATATTAACAAGGGGCTTTGTTGTAGGAGTTGTTATTGTAAAGTTTCGATGGAACATTTGAAAAAGAAAATCAAATTCATCCAATACAAAAACAAATCAAACAAATAATGAAAAATTAAATATGATATTTCAAAAACCTTTATCTAAACTTTCATATTTTGGATTTCTGGCATTGATATAAATAGTGAGAAGAATTGCATAAATATTATTATCTCAACACGTTTGAAAGAAAAAAGGCCAATTTTATTTTCCGAAAATTGACATGCTCTACGGCATAAATGACAACCTAGTAGTTAGTAGTAATTTAAAAAAATGCAAGCAACATAAAAAAAAACATGGTAGTGGCATTGAGGCTATGTTTGGCGGTACGAATGTAGCTAGAGGCTAATGTTGGAACTAAGAGTTCTTGTCTGAATTAGAAATTATTGTCTCGAACTGAATTTTAAAAAGAATGAATATAAACTGCTAGTTGAATAAAGCAAACTCGTTTCACCCAAAGAGTTGAAAGAATGACTGGATGACATACAATATAGTAATGCAACAAAATATTTATGACCATGATTGTATATTTTAATAAACATTAAGCTTCTGATTGAAAAATGATTTGATTATTTAGACAATAATCAATTAAGGCAATTTGAGTATATTTTGAGAATTAGTTTTGATGAGTATAACGTAACAAGGTCATTGATATAACCTATGAAGGTTATGTATATTGATCATTGGAATTCTCAAATTGAGCATACAAAATTTCAAAACATCATTTGAGCATCAAATTATTTTCGTTGAGTACCACATTCTTTGTTAATTTAAGCATTGAGACTGTGTATTGAGTATCAGAACTCTCAATTGTATATAAAAATTTGAAAAGCTCATTTGAACGTCAAACATCTTCATTGATATCATGTGAGCAAGCTCTAATTATCTGGTCACGTGAGTTTTGTTGGCATTGATATGACATTTGAAAATGAACAACACATTAATAAATGTGTATACTCATACACATAAAAAAATTACTACTAAGCATCCAAAAATTCAAAAGTTCATTTGAATTCTCTAAAAGTCTAATATGCCTAAATATTCATTTGTGTATACTCATTTCTTTTAAGTGTTATATTCATTTGAGTATAGCATGAACCCTTTTCTATAATATGCACATTTTTTAAATTGATTGTAAACAGTTTACTAAGTAATCATTATATATAACAATGAAATATAATAATTTAAAAAAAAAATAATTTATGATTTTTCATTCTTGTATTAGAGATAAAGAAATATAATGATTTTTCTTTTAATCTGAGTAGCAAATATAGTTCTAACCAACAACGGTTGGAGCCAGAAATACTTGGTCCATACCAGGACCTCTATTTCCAGTTCCGGTCCAATGGCGGGTCCCATTTTTTTGTTTTTTTTAGGTTTTTTATAATCCTCTCCACCCCTCCCGACCCTTTTTCAGCTTTTAAATGGATTTACAATGCTTTTAAAATGCTTCCAATGTTTGAGATGCAAAAACAAAAGTAAAAACTAAACAGGACTGAATCAGCCGGTCTCAGACTCTCAGTCTCATGGCAGCCCGGGATCGGTCCCCGTGAAATGCCCCGGGTTCGATATACCAACCGAACTGTTAATAACGGTGCCAGGCTGGTCCCAAGAACCGGCGAATTCCGGTTTGAACCGGTCACCGTCACTCACCGGAACCGGCCTACCTCTGACCCTTGGGTAAAAGGGATTAAGTTTACCTCCAATGAGAAACCATGTAGAACAGTAACTATATATAGAGTACGGCAACCTACAACCACATCAAACAGAAACACAAATATCCTCTTGATCCATAAAAGCCGGATACCATAATAAAAAGAAGATCAAAAAGAAAGAAAAGATACAATTTCTTGGAAGGAACTTGAGTTGGGTGATTGTCTTGAATATGCATTTGGGTAATTGGGTCGTTAGCAAACTTGTTTGATCGGAAATTGCCTGGACATCTCTCATCTTACAAGACCTGCCTGCACTCTGACCAGAAGAATGGAAATTGTAATGAGATTCTTGGAAATTTTTATCATGTAGTAGAACCACAGACTAAATGCCCTTGAACGCACATAACATCCCAAATTCCATTTATTACTTTATTCTACATCTACTTCATGCAAATGTATACTAGTATCACATAACAGGCGGATGGTTTCAAATTTAATCTCATTATTACTTTGTCCTCTATTTAATTTAGTTCAGTTTATAGTTTAAACTAGTTGTTATGGTGACGAGCACTTTGTCACGATGCGTCAAAATAATATTCGATACCAGCACTTATACGTAGTGTAGGTGAAGTAGAGTTCGTATCCAAAGGGAAAGGAATAATTCTCTTTTTAGTAAAACTAGTACATAAGGGGGGTTTTGGGATTGAGTGATTTAATTTAATTAAATACGAAGATGAACGGTTTATATGAGATTTAATTCAAAGATAAAAGGGACTTGGCATTGCTACTTTCCACTTGTTGATATATTTTAGTCGATCATTGTTATATCTATAATTTATCCCCTCTCGAATACTCAATCGAGGATTATATCCAATTCATCGAGGGTAGTTATTAACAATGACCGTTCATTAATAACTCTTACTATTGGTCAAGTATAGAACACTGCTATATACCGACTCGATAGTAGCATTTAATCTCTTAACTCCTTGATGAAATCAATTGAGATTGATAACCTCAACACAACGGTTTTCGGTTTAACCAACAAAATTAATCTCTCTTAAGTTTATTAGCCACGACCGTGCATTATAAACCGAAGTTACTTGTGAAACCATCAACGATTAACAAGCGTATTCGTCGATCGATTCTAGTAATAATTAATATATGAAA